ATGTGAGTGGATTACCTGAGCTGGCAGGTTCGAGACCCGCCTGGGCAGCTTGGCGAGACCTCATCTCTACAATAAAATCAAAATGAGCCGGGCGTGGTAAGGCGCACCTGTAGTTCCAGCTACTTGGAAGACTGAGGCGGAAGGACCGCCGGAGCCCAGCAGGTCGAGGCAGAGTGAGACTCCAACTCAAAAAATAAAAATAAAAATAAAGTTCGTATGAAATCAGTACACATAAAAGTTACCAACTTGACCATTTTTAAGCTTGCAGTTTAGTAGCCTTAAGCGCCTTCACGCTGTCGTGCAGCTGATCTTCCGAACTCTTCTCAGCTCACAAAACTGAAACTTGACCCATTAAACCATAACTTTCCATTCCCCCTCCCCCAGCCCTGGGCAGCCACCATTCTGCTTTCTGTCTGTAGGGCCTCACAGAAGTGGAGTCATACGGTATTTGTCCTTTTGTGACGGGCTTATTTCACTTGACACCGTGTCCTCCAGGCCCACCCCCGTGGTACCACGCGTCAGAGTTGCCCTCCTTTTAAGGCTAATGCTGTGCCACTGTACAGATAGACCACATGCTGTTCATACAGTCACCCGTCGATGGACGCCTGGGCTGCTTTCACCGCTCAGCTTTTGTGAATAATGCTGTTACGCACATGGGAGCACAAATACCTCTTTTGAGTCCCTATTCTTAATTCTTTTGGGTGTGTTCCCAGAATTGGACTTGCTGGATCATATGGTAATTCTCTGTTTAGTTCTTTAAGGATCCGCCCAACTGCTGTCTTCCAGAGTGCACAAGGGTTTTCCACATCCTCATCAACACTTGTTATTTTCTGGGTTTTTTAAATATATATATATTATCCATCCTAATGGGTGTGAGGTGCTACATGCTCAGGCTTTTCTTAACCTCGTTTTTTGCAGATATCATTTACGCCTCATGACTCTTCAAGTCGTCTTCCACTGATCTTAGCTCCATTCACTCCCCGGCATGCTAAAACGGGGTGGGGGGTGGGGGGGATGAATCGTCCTCTCAAAGGTACAACCGCAGCTGTGCCCGGGCATTCCCAAAGGGCTCCAGGCCTGTGCAGAGAAATTCGGGAACAAGCTGGGACTGCACTCGGGGGCTTGGGCAGCCCCAGGCCTGGCCCTCTGCCACTCTAAGACCAGGAGCTAATCACGTCCCTCCTGAGCCTCCATTCCTCCATCCCATCCCTCAAAATGGGAGCGATACCAGCGCCCTTAACTCCCTTGCAGAGTTGGAGCCCTGGAGGTAAAAAGGCTCTTGGAAATTCTATGGCAAGAGCAAAACCTCTGGGTTTGTCAGGATTTTTTTAAAAAGCCGAAAGAGAAGAGGGGAGGGCCCCTGCTTCTTAGTAACGCATGTAGGCGATTTCAGAGCTCAAGTTCATGGAAGCGCAAATTGAATTACAAAGGAGGCAGCGCTGCCATTTGCAACCACGGATTGCTTGAAATCCTTTTAGAGGAAAATTAAAATATTTCACAGAGGGTAATAAAATGCCGGGTGTTTTGCAGTCATGACTGCTTAGCTCTCTTGGGCAAATAAGTAATTAGGCATTTTTTATTTAAGTTCTTCGTGTCGTCATTTTCTTTCATTAGCAGAGGGAGAAAAACTGTTGTGGAAAATACATAAAACTCTGGAACTCACCAGAAAGTTAATTATAAAACTGTAAAATATAAATGTGCCTATATACATATATATATTTTAAGCACACTGTAACAGCGTACTGAGGAAACAAAGGGAAGCCCAGAAATGGGAAGCTGGATCAAAGATTCCTCTGCCTCCGGATAAAATCCGATCCCAGAGACGGTGCGGTGAGCCTTCCCAGGTGCGGGGTGCTGAGATGCAGGTCAGCGTGGCCGGCGGGGGGGTGATTTAAGTGATTGGGATTGTAATCCTTACATGTGAATGATACTACATTTTTCTTATCCGCTTTCAGAACCATTGTAAAGTGAGTTGAGGGTGTCAAGGGGAAGACACCATGAAAAGATCATAGTTGTGAGGAGTAAGCTCGGATAACGAAGTCCCGGTCATGAATTCTATTTCAAACTCAGGAGCTCTGACTTTCATATTTATTCATTCATTTTGTAAAGATGGGAACTTGCTATATTACCCA